GTGCAAGCTGCTTGTGTGTAATCAAGTTAAAAATTTATATAAAACACTGCCGGATGATTGCGAACCGATGCCTGATGCGAGAGTGACATAAAACTCGGTTACATAAAACAAATGCAGGAACACGCGAAAGGGAAGCCCCTCTGCATCTCTGGAGCCAGTGTGCCACAGAAGAAACCCTTTCGGGGAATCTTTACATATGCATGGACCACCAATGATACCATAGAAAATCATCACCCCCCTGGCGCATCATCCAACACGGCTCGTTGTACTTTTCGCATACTTTGTACCTATGTCATAATAGAAGGAAATTTTCCAACGATACCAAATTGCAAATAAAACACATCTGTTTATTTGTTATTTTTCATTATTATTAGCTATTGGATCGTCGATGCAGGTATGTAGAGTTTGCTCCTTCGAGAAATATTCGGAAACATCCGGCAGGGACCGGAATCATTTTGATAATGATCGTTCTCGCGAAACTCGTTACGAAAATATTTTGAAGATATCTTCACCGACGTTTGCACAGAGGCGCGTGATAGTGAAATCTGCCGAGGGAGATAGAAACATGGCCGATAAATTGGAAAGCGAAGGACTCTCTCAGCAGTGAAGAAACTTTTCGGAAAGGTCAACAGGCCGTTGCAGCTACCTACCTCGAGTACGCAAGTATAATGCATAGTTACTGGCCTGTCATGCCAAACGAGATCGGAGATTTATCATCGATTTATTTGCATTCTTCTTTCTCTTACTTCCGAGAAATACAACAACTAAAGCTAAATGGCAAACAGTCGTTGTTTCATTAATTTCGTTTGCAAACAATCGTTTTCTCCTGTACCGAGAGGTACAAATAATTGGTCAGCCATTTACTCATTTCCGTCGACTGCAAATCGTCATCCATCCATTACGATTATTGACACGACCTAGACCTCGAAAGCTGAAAACCTCTGCACGAGACTCGTCTTACTCAATCCGTCTTACCGTAGGTACCTTACTTATCCTTTTCCATCGAAAAAAGTATGTAAAAACCATGTGACGGAGTAAGTGCAAAAGAAATGCGAAGCAGCGCAAGGAACGTGTAATGTTAACATACGTATCACACGTTCGCGTGCGCGTGTTACAATACGTTACCTACATCTCAACGGGAATCTTCCCATCCCTTCGATCAAAGACTGTGCGCGTAGAGAGTTGGGCGTATCTACCTATGTTACATAATAAACGGGAGCAGAATCGCGATCGTAATCTATACTGTGTGAATGGCACAGCAGGTTTCTCCTACCCTTTGACAGTATTTGTATTTGTATTTGTATTTGTTGTGCTTTGTACGAATAATAATAGTAAACATAAACTAAGCACTACAATACCTATACGAAATATCGAATTGCCATAGTCGACAAATAGTCCGCACTCGCGTGACTCACTCATATTGCCTTGAAACTTAAAAAGATTAGCGGGACACGCTTTCAAATTTCGTTCAACGAACGAAAACGTTGAAAATGTTACGACCGTGACTGCCTTACTAAATAGCAAAGAGAAAACGATTTTCAATGTAAACGCAGTCGTTGAACATCTAAACCTAACCTAAGTAATCAACCCTTCGCATGCATTCGATTGTCCCTCTTCTGAGGAGACATCGTACTTAAATAGCAAAGCACAGCTCGGACTTTCTCTTTTTTCATAATTTTGTAGTTACGATAATTACAATGAACGTGTACATTTGGTGTTGTACGATGCGATGTGTATAATATTTATGACGCTAGAGTGAAAGCTATAATAACGACGTAGACGAGGAAGAACAGAGAAAGAATTTCTCAAGAAGACAGTCCCGAGTCAATTGACATACTCGCGACAATTCGCGTAATTCAGAATAATTCACGCAAACCAGACTTCTTACAAAAGTTGAAAAAAAAATGGCGGACGATATTATTTTTCCAAGGATTGAATAATATCCTCTTGTGTGTTGTGCTTGCTCTAGCAAACCTGCAACGCACGTTTTGCGACGATTGCTTTAAATTTAAATGATATCACACGTTAGATAGATATAATTAACAAAATCTCGTGATTATTTCCAACATCATATCATTTTATTTGAAGTGAATAAATTGCTGGTAGAAAAAAACACTTGTCGAGGGCAACTCCTCTCGATGAGATTTAAACATGTGAATTTGAGAGGAAATTAGAGTTAGACTGAAAGCGAGTTAACGAGAAGAATTTGAAAAGATCGGGAAATGATTTGAAAATGGGTAGGCAGCTACTTACGTGTGTAAGTGTGTAACAGAGGGTTCCCACTCTTGCAACAGCAGCGGACGAATTGAAGTTGAAACAGTGCAGTATCGCGTGAAACTGTCAATTAGGAATCCGTCGGTCGATTTCAATATCTGCTGAATCGATCCTTTTCGACCGTTCACAGGTTGTCACAAGTAATTGTTCCGAAATTTGCTTGCCTGTACTTACCTGTACCTGACGAACAAACAATCTCTCGGAAGCCTGGCTTCCGTTTATTAAATAATCTATATCTACCACAACCGTACGAGTGTACATGGAATTTGTCGAAATCGAACCAA